CTGGTTGGGTGAGACATAAATAGTTAGCTCTTTGTACTATTCGTTGATCTGTAAATCCTTAGACAGTACAGGTAATTATTTATCCCAGTTATTCTCAGATATGATCTTTATTATAATAAAACAGTACCATGATGCATGGATAAGTTAGCGTTAAAAAAAAAAAATTATGCCATACATAAATTGCTTTGTGGTCAGCTAATTTTCTATTACTTTAGCTCATAGTTTTTTACCTTTTTGATGCGAATGGATTGTTCATGCATTCTCTAGCTTGCAAGGGATATGGTGATAATTAGTAATTGATTGTTTCATGTAAGCTTCAGTTGCATCCCGATCATCAGTCACATGACCACAGTGAAAATTCTGAACTTTGTTTGACTTTTTTGACCTTTAACAATATATTGTTATAAAAAGGAATTAGGAAATTATTTTCAAGTCATCAATATAAAAGATAATGTTTTGGTGAATTTCAATAAGTTACTGGATATAGTGGATTTGAGTGATAATAAGGTATTTTATCTTTTGTTCAGTTATTATCTTTATTTAAAAAGTACTAAACCAATGTTCTTAGCTCTATGTTTGCACTGATGAATATGATGCTAGTATGAATGAGGCCCTTAAAAATGAAACACTTTTACAACCTCTTACCACTCATCATTATTCCTCAGTTCAAAGTATAGTCAAAAAAATTGAGAGTTTGTTCAAACAATTTTACAGATGTTTGAAATATGCTTGTGATGAAGGTATAGCTCGTGTTTTCAAACTGGTGTGACTCCTGTCATTATGGTCAAATTCATCGTAGAATTTAACATTTCAGAAGATTTGGCGCTAAGCAAAAAATTCTGGGACTTATATAGTTTAAGAGATCAAAAATTGAGCTTCTCTTGGATAAAGCTTTTGGAAATAGTTTGGTAGCTAATATTAAAGAAGGAATAATGACATGGTTAAAGGAGAAAAATGAGGATATTTTTTTAACTCTAATCAACCTGAAGGTATATTTAACACTACACGTGTCCTGTACTGTATTAGGAAGTTTATGGAACAAAAGTAAGAATTGGATGATAGTTGGGATTCTTCAGTCATTCTTAATATATCTGGACAAAATCATCCTGCAAGGAGAGGAGACTGAAATCATTACAGACCCAGCAGAAATCAAAAAATATGTAAGACTTCATTTTTAGGAATGGATACCCCTAAGAAATGTAAGACCACTGAATAACCACCCTTTGTGAAAAAAGAAGTATGATCCCAAAAGCCATATACATTTATATTGGTATGAATCCACAATCAAATAAATTTTAAAAGAAAAACTTGACATGACAATCAAAGAAATTTTAAAAGAAAAACTTGACATGACAATCAAAGAGTGGAGTAACAAATCTGCACTTGGGTTCAACCAACTTCCTTATATTGCCTACAAACATCTGGGGGAAAATACTAAAGAAGAAGCCTGAGGAATTTTCAATCAAATAATCCAGCAAGGTGACACCCCAGCAGAATAGAATAAAGGAATCATCTATCCAATTCCAAAATTAAAAGAATGGGAAAACAATCTTGATATCACAAGACCAATTACCTTACTTAATACAGGAAGGAAAATTTTTACAAAAATTTTAACTGATAGGCTAGTTAAGTATATCAAGAATAAAGAAATCCTATCAGAATGCAACTGGGCCACACTTCCAGGAAATAGCACAAAGACCCAATACACATAATCAGCAGCATAATAGAATATACTAATAACAGGCATGGATTCTAAGCCAGGACATATCCAAAGCATATGACTCAGTTAACATCAAAATGTTGACTTTGGCCTCAAAAAAATAAAGATTCCAGATCAAATAATCTAAATTTTAATTAACATCTTACATATCAGACAAAACTCCATAACTACATGTCATGGTCCAATAGAGGAATATAGTGTACAAGACAGAATTGACCAAGAAGACACAATATTACCTTTTTTGTAATGAATTTTTTATTGATCATGGTTATAAATATACACAATAAATATACAATAAGCTTAAAACATTGTGAAGACCTAAAAAAAGAGTGGGAATGTGGAATCACTGACATTGTTACCAGTGCCTATATGGATGACACAACATAGATCACCAGCAACCAGGAAGCCCTATAACAAGTAATAAACACAGTACAACAATTCTATCATATCAATGACATTCAAGTGAATCCATCAAAATCACAACTGTTGATCATAAATAGAAGAGATATGGATTATGAGCAAGGGATCAAAATGAATGAATTCAAAATAGAGGGTTGCAAACTATGTATACCTGTAAGGATTTTAGAGGTATAGTATGACAGCTCTGGACAAAAAAAAATATCAAAAAAATCCCATAAATCAAAAAATAAGCAAAGGCAAAGCTCTAATAGGGATGAAAAAAGTAACAGACAAGCAGATGTGATACATTATCAACCATGTACTTATACCAAGCATAGAATACCTGTGCAATGATATAATCCGAACTAGAGAGACCTACAACTGCCTCATAAGCAAAATAGTTACAACATATAAACACAAATTAGGTTTTGCAAACACAATTCCAAACAATATACTATATAACAACTAGGAATACAACTTAATGCACTTGTGGAATAGACAAGTAATATTATATCTAAATAATTGAACAACAAGAATTAATTTCAACAATACCACAGGTAGCATAGCTAGATATAGACTTCAATTACTATAAAACATAAACTAATCCACAGAATCAATTACAGTTAGCATAAAACACACTTTCTTGAAATATGGTGCAAACCTTACACATTATATAATCTGGTTACTAAGAATACATAGTTTCAATTTCAAGTAAATAAAGAGTAAAGGCCTAGTAGTAATAAAAAAAAAATGTCAAACTATTCATGAAATCATGAGTGAGAGCTTCTATTAAAAACACAGAAGCAGTTAGAAAAACACAACCTACTCTTTATAAGATAACTACTCAATGGAAATAGACAAAAAACTTTACACTAGAGTCAACTTATCAGAATTAATAAAACAGCAATACAAGGGCTATCCTGACATGGTTCTTGAAGATAAAAGACAAACTAGACCAACAACTAAATCTACCAACACAACAAACTGACTCCCTATACAATAGCTTCCCTCCATTGCAAGTCAAATATAGCAAGTACATCACTAAACCACACTGGATTGGAACAGAAATAAATAATCAAATGGTTATCAACAAAAAATAAAGAAAAATAAATAATAAATCAGCAATTTATAAACATTACATATGTGATGCAGATCAATTTTCACTTTTAGAATGCTCGGACTGTGATATTAACCAGTTTAAAAATGGTAAAGCTACCTGTAACTTTGAAGCAATAAGACAAGCAACAGTAGAAATCCTAGTTTACCATAGCATGATCTTAACACAGCAATATCTAAGTAATAAAGATTTAAACTTCAGAAACTGAATATTACCAAATTACTTAGTATTGGGCCTGTCTGCACTAATACACATATCATATATCAGAACAAACCAGAACACGGAAATTGAAAGCACCACAAAAGACTAGCTACAAAACACAAACGTAATCTCGTTGATGCAGAGGAATCAATTATAAAGGAACTGTATAACATCAGCCAAGAACTCCAAAACTATATGTATTTTGCAATATACACAGATGGCTCCATGAGCTGGTATAATAGACAATACTACATGTAAGTAAATGGACCCTAACAATCAATAACAATAGATGTTTCAACTTTCAAGGTCAAGCTAAAAACTTTCCTTTCTCAACCAGATCTAAACTAATGGTCATTCTTACAGCTATAATGCCCTTCTATATTACAGCAGAGTACAAATACATACAGATAGTATGATAGCTATCAATTGTATTTGGAAAACTACAAGCTCAGTACTACACAACATTATAAAAAACAAAAAAATGCAAATATTCTACAACTTATCAAAAAAATCTGCAAACAAAGAAATATAATAATGGAACTATTCAAAGTCCAAGCACATACAGGAAATACACAAAATGAACTGACAGATCAATTGGCAGAGATTGGTCAACAACAAGGAATAAGACCCAACAAAAGAAACATCACAACCAGAACTGAGATTTTAAAAGAAATATACTTCTCTATATAATGGAATGAACAAAATCTAGAAGTACCAATTAAAGAAACAACCAAGAAAATTGTATAAACAGTTTACTTGGTAAAATAGAGACTCCTGAACAGAACCAAAACAATTTTGACAATTACTTAATCCAGAAAATCCACTGGCTCACCACCTTCAAATACCTTCAAATTACTAAAATGAGCAACTATATGACAAACTAAAAGGACTAACAACAAAAGAAATTTTTACTAAGCTTATGGAATGAAGAACTCACTACCAAAACCAAGTTGTACCACAAAGCACCTTCAATCTACAAAGATATTTTGTGCAACAAATGCAGAGAAATAGAAACAAATATACTTCCTTTCATTGGCAATACACATAGGGCAATAACAGAATAACACATAATTGATAGCACCATCACAAATATTATAAGTCACTCGACTCAAAGCAATACACTAAAATGGACAAACAAACTAAAAGAAAAAACATCATTTTATTATGAGAGATATCTAAAATATGCAATCAGATAAGCTTTCCTCAAGGAAATAACTCAAATTATTCAAGAGGCAATTCCAGAAAAACAACACAAATATGACTGTTACATAGGAATTAAAAAAACATCACAAAATATCTTCAAGAGCTATGAAAAAGATGTTGTGAAGACTTTCAACTATAGAAAGCATAACAAGATATTATCAGAAAGCTGGAGAAAAAATACAAATATATAAAATATAAAATTGAATCATGGCTCAAAAAAAGAGAAGATCACTTTAAAGAGTAATTTATACATTTGGTTAACAAATACATGAACAAAACTATCCAATATATAACAACACCCTTTACCATTTTGAAATTTTCATATAGTACTAGCCCATCTTTAGCAGGTTAGCATCCTCAGAAAAGAGGTGGCAACAAGCCACAAAGTAAGTATAGTCGAAAGATTACTTCTTTATCAAACTATATTTGGTAAGCATAGATAGTTATAGTATTATATGTATATACCACCAAATTTCAAATAAAGTAAGGCTGAGCCAGCATTTAAAAAAAATAATAATAATAATAAAAATAATATGGCACATTATAGTTAGTCTTTTTTTTCTTTTATTAGTTTGACTAATACTTTATATAAAGTTTTATTGAATCATTCTACTAGTCCATTAATTTGAAGATGATATATGATAGATAATAAATTTTGTATTTTATATTTTTTTAATAAATCATTAACTATTTTATTTCTGAAATATATTTTATGATCTAAAAAAATTTGTTTTATATATTTATATTTGCAAATAAAAGATTAATATATAAATTTTGGGTATTTACTTTTCTTTTGCTTCTGAGATTGCTTCAATTTCAGGTTATTATATAAAATAGTCTGTTGCTACTACAATATACTTATTATTTTTTTATGTATAATAAAGAATTAATAATATTTATTTCAATTTTTGAAAAAGGTTCTTTAATAGGAATAAGATTTAAAGAATTGATTATTCTATATTTTTTTTCATCTTTAACATTTAATATATGATTTGATATAGTCTTTTATATTTTTGAACATTTATTATCAGAAGTATAGATTTTAAACTTTTTTAAATATCTTATAAATATTAAGATATATATAAATAGAATAGTTATAATAGAATAGTTATACAATAAATATAGTACTGGTTCTTTTTTAAGTTTTTGTGATACTTTAAGAGATTGGTTTTGTATTTTTTCTTTTTATTTTTAACTTAGAAAAATTTGCTTTTGAATTGTAATTGTTATTGTGTTTTGACAAGATTTGATGGTAATTTGTTATTTTGTAAA